TCAAAGGTAACCAGATCTCCAAAAGCTTTGAGCTTTCTCTTGAACGCTCCTCGATGCGTCTTGAAGTGTTTCATCTTTGCTCTGATGCATGACTCACAGTAGGGATTCTTGTAACGATGTGTGAGTAGATGCTCGATTTTCCTGGCATCTGCTTTCAGAGTTCCTCTTCTCACCATTCTACTTGCACCGTCAACAACATCCACCTCGATGTCATCTGCATCATCATCGTCAGCTTCTGGTTCACTGTCTCCGGCGACATCTGATCCTACCTCATCTTCTTCTCCCGGAGATGCCTTGAACTTCTTATTCCTCTTTCGCCTTTTGACTTTTGGAGGCTCAATCACAGGAAGGTCGTCATCATCACACATGATTCCTTGAGGATCCACATCACAGTTGATGAAAGTCGATTGGTAATCAGCTTCATCTTCTCCTAGGGTGAACCTTGCGATCATCTCCGCCCTTGTATCGTCGGTGGGAGTACAGAAGTCACTGCCCTTGACAATATATGGGATGTTTCCCTCTACTTCTAACATGATTTTCTTGTAGTTCGGGGAAACCATGTACGGGTTGCCGCAGGCTGGCCATATGAATGTGTATCCTTCCTCCATGCATTTCTTTCCAACAGACAGTACTGAAGGAGACTCATCTAGGACGAATGGGGAGTAGGTAGAGTCAAATTCGTCGAAATGAATGTCGGCGACTCCTTTTGTGGATGTCACTCCATTCGCGGTATAGAATGACATTGATTGGTCGCTTTCTCTCACTTCCAGACCTAATTTCTTGGCTCTGCCTTTCGATATCAAATCATACCCACATCCTGTGTCCATGATGAACTTCGTTCTTGACCCTTTGGCTGGAATAGACAATGTCTTTGTGTCTGCATGATCTTTCTTTCCCTCGCATACATGAGGAATGACTTTATGATGGAAAACTAGGCCGTCATCTTCGTCAAAAGACATAGTGACCGATAGGTCACCCTTTGGTCCAACTGGTATTCGGACCCTCTTGATCTCAGTGTAGGGGACCATCAATATGCCTCTCGCCTCTGCGACCTTTTCTTCAAATCTGATTTGTTCTTTCCTCGTGTAGCAGGTGAGCTCTTTCTCATCGTATCGTTTGATGTCCGGACGTAGAGGTTTCTTTTCTACTACCTTCCATTTGTCCCTGACTGAGTAGATCGCTTCGTTCAACATGATCTCACAAGTCTCTTCATCAAAGGATACTTTTGCACCTCCTTCTCTTGCCTTGGCGGATGCAGCAATCCCTTCATCTTCGGATTCGTCCATGAAGAGTTCACCGTCAATGGCTGGGGCTCCAGGCTTCGCCTTAGGCTTCGGTTTGGGTTTTGCCTTGGGCTTTGGCCTATCGTCTCCTGAGTCAGCTGGTGCAGATATCCCTTTCTTAGGAGAGGCTTTTGGGTCATGGTAGAACTTGCAATCCTTCCCTTTGTCACAAGTTCCTCGAATCCACATCCAACATACTGGCTTGTCATTCTTTCCGACAGAAGATCCTCTGGATGGTGATCTGGATTTCTTGTGACTGAATGGGCAATCTTTCCCCATAGTGCAGTTACCCTTCACGAAGTATTTGCATGGTATCTTCTTCTTGTCTGTACTCGGACTTCGGCTGCGATCCTTTCCATCACCTTTACCTTTCCCCTTTCCCTTTTTGTTCTTGTCTTCAGGATGCTTCTTGGGATTGGGTTTCGGCTTCACTGCAGCAGCGTCTTCTGAGACAACCTGTTCTTGTTGCCCTTTTGGTTTCTTCTTCGGATCAGCTGGTGCAGCTTTCAGTTTTGGAGCAGGTCCGCCTGGTTTGAGATTCTGAAAGATATTGGCCACATTCTTCACTGCCTTCTCCTTTTCCAGGATCATCCTGTCTTCAGTTTGCCGTTCGATGTGCCTTCTGATCATATCACGTAGATGTTTGTATGTCTTCTTGGCATCATCGTCGTTCATGCTGTTGTAGGCGCTGATGTCGTATGCCATGAGGTTTGAGTTCCTGATCTTTCTCCATAGGAGATCCCGAAGAGTTTCGTCGCTCGGGACGTCAACGGGCTTCATTCCTGCCAGAATCTCATCCCAAGTGTGGAAGAACAACGATAAGTTCTTGTCTCCTTGATATTCTAGTTGGTAGAGGTGCATTGAAGTATATATAAGACTTCCACATTTGATGTTGTCTTGAAATTCATAAGGATCAGGGCTAGGACCTCTCTTCCCTTTATGAGGCTTGATGTTCTCCCTTTTGCATTGATCCTCGTCCTCAACTTCATAGCTACACCTGAACCATCATCTTTCGCATCCATGACGACCTTGGTAAGAGCTAGGCCGAGTTTGGCATCGATTGAATGGAATCTTTGGTCTCCTGAGTCGACAAACTTGTCCGGATCAGGATCGTCCATGGCTTCTTTGATCCAGTCGATCCAGGGCTCTTGATCTGAATCATTGGCCGCAATGATGATCAATTGAATGAGATTTGCCTTCCATAGTCCAAGATCATTGATCCTGGGCCATGACGGAACGTTTATCTTTGATTCTTCCTTCCTCGATACTTTCATGATTGTAGAGGTTGCCGGTGCAAGATGAGATGAAGAGGATGCTTCTGCTTCTGAAATCTTATCCCTCAATGATTTGTTCGCCTCGGATAGCTCAATTGATTTCTCCCTTTCCTCGGCGTACTCATTGTGGGTTTCGGCATACCATTCATACATCTCATCTCGGCTCTCTGTCATTTCATTGTACCCGTCCTTGTAGTGCTTCGCCTCCTCTTTTGCGTTCCGAATCTCATCTTCCTCGGACGCGTGGGTTGGTAACCCGCGGTCTCTGGAACTAGGACGCTTGCTGTACCGAGAGACTATGGGTGCCATTCGTGCTTCTGCTTTTAATTTCGCATTTTCCATAATGACATTCTTTGTCTCCTTCTGGCTCTCCAATAGTGCATTCTCCAGTTCTCTGATCTTCTGTTGAATTTCAGCACCATCATCGCCGAACATAGGAGCTCTCATCATATTCTCTCTTTTCAGCTGTGCGTTGGCTTCGGATAGAGCGAGGTTGACGTCTTTCAATTGTTGTCGTTCACGGATGGAACTTTCTAGGACTTCGTTGTTGAATATTTCTCCTTTTGCGATAACCTCCTTTGCGACGTTTGCTTCGTATTCATGGTGGCTCGCCTTCATTTCTGCCATTTCTTTAGCAGAGACTTCAGTCTGGCATACAAACATCTCCATCCTCATGCCCACTTCCATCTCTCCTATCTCCGCTCTCGCGTTGAGTTCAGCTCCACGTGCCATAGCTAGTTGACCTCGTAGATGATCAATAACCATAGCTTCCTGATTGCTCTGATCTTGAGATGAGTGAACACTGTGTTGAAGACGTCTTTCCCTGACCTCACTGTTCCATTGTTCTTCTCTCTGGTGTTGGATCACCTCGTGCATGTTGACATTCTCATCCTGTAGCGCAATCATTCTAGCTTGTATCTGGTCAGCTATTCCGACGAAGGCTGTGTTCTCATCCTGAATGGCTTTTGATCTTCTATTGATCGCCAATGAAGATTCATTCTGTTCTTGGATGTGTCCAATTGCTGCTTGAAGCTCTTGGGACATTCTGTCCTTCGTTGCTTTCACAGATTCAAGCTCTGAATGTTCTTGATGAGTTTCTTGTGCAAGCTCTTGATATCTCATGTAGATATGTTCAGCTGTCGATTCCGCCAAGCGTAGCTTGTGTTCGAGCTCTTCAATTCTTATTGTCGCTCCTTCATCTTCCTGTGTCATCTCTTGTAGATGTTCCTGCATCTTCCTGTTGTAGTCAGACATTTGCCTGAACTCCACTTCAGCCTCGTGGTGTAGTCGTGAGTATCCGGCTTGGATGCATTCATATTCTTCATGAAGAAAATTGTATGCGTTTCTCGCCGATCTCAATTCTTCACCCAGCTGAATCTCTCTTCTTTGCTCTTTTGTTCCTCTATCATCGTCACGTCTCTTCTCTATACTCCTTCTTGGGGATCTCGCGGTAGACGTTATAGGCGATGTAGATCTTGTTGTAGCTCTCATCGATCTTCTTGGTCCTACGGGTGCAAGATCGGTCAGATTCCGAGCCGGTGGCACGGATCTTTCCGAGATTTGTGATCCAGTAGGCATAGTGATAACGTCAGCATTTGCTGATGAATCAGTACCCATTGTAGAGTCTGGTGACGAAATGGTGTTGGGACCACCAGGAGCAGCGAATGAATAGGGTTCGCTTCCATTTCCTCCTGAGCTTGACATTGCAGGTTTCTGTAATGACTAGTCTTGTTCTTGGTCTCGTGTAGCTCGTACGGCTATAAAGAGCGCGTACGGCTGATAACCTGCGAGTGGATCTTAATCAGCGAAGTTTGAAGCTATCACTGACGGTCCATAAGCGGCGTAGCGTCGGAACGGAAACCGCACCTTTTCTAGTCGCTTGATCCTTGAGCCAAAGTACATATGGTACATATATATGTACAAGTTGCACTGTACATGTCGCTGCACTTCCATTCGCATTATACATATGACATAAGGGGCCCCTCCTGAGCACCAGCTAGCAGCTAGTTGTCCATCCAGCTCATATATCATCTTCCTCCCAATCCTGAAAGAGCCAATCGTAGCCACACCATTTTTGACTAGCCGCCTCTCCAATCATGCAACCAAATTCAGATGGCAGGAAACCTCGAAGGACCATGAAATCCTCGAAGGACCATGGTGGGTTTTCACTCCACTTCCATCTTTGCAGAAACAGCTCGCCTCACCACGTGTTCGAAACGCCTCCCCCACGTATTCTTCGCTGGGCGAGAAACCGCCCGTTCCGCCCAATCTTGGATTGTAACCGGAAAAAAAGAAGAAGCTTCGCCAGAAGGGCATGTATATTACATGAGTTAACCATAAATCGTTCATGCATTACATGGTTTAACATGATTGAACCAACAGGGGAAAATAAAAGCATCACCTGATTCGCCAACACCAAATTCCCGATCCGCTCCCGTGGCTCTCATGTGGGCGGGTCCTCCCGCTTCTGCTGCTCCTGGGCATAGTCCTCTCGCAGCCGCTGCAACTCCTGGGGGTGTCTTTCGGTGGTTTTTTCGCCGTTGGGCGGGGGATTCTCACTGATTCTCACTGAAGAAAGCCCATTCTGAGAAGGGGAGTGCGGTTTTCAACACATCACTGGCTGGACAGGAGTGTGTCCCAACATAAGGAAAGAGAGAATTATCATGAGGTCCTTCAATGCGTCCTTTGACGGCAAAGCGTGAGGCTACCCCAATTCTTCGGACTGCGATGAACTTTCATACCTTTAGTGGTGTATTATGATGCTAACTAAACAATGAATGCTAAACATGCGAAATGATTGCGCGCATGCAAATGTGCTATGTGTGCCTCGCCGCACTAACCCCGCCTCGACTTGAGAATTGTCCAGGCTGGTCCTCAGAGCAGGACAACGAGCCAGGCGAATCGAAATGGGATCTGCAATGATCTGCAAAGCAGGTTCTTGGATGGAGGATTTTACATTGGTCCTGTCACATGTCCACGGCGCACGCTTTGGTTCTGAGTCTGGACTAGAGTCTGGTTCTAGTATGTTCTAGTAGAAGGGTGTTCTCACTGTCAAAACCCAGAAATGAAGATGAATCATGATGAATGATGAATCATCACTGCTAATCCATCACTTTCAGTCATCCCAATGTGACTGAGGGGACGTTCGAGCCTGATTGGTGACTAGCCACATCTGAGCCTGACTGAGCCACATCTGAGCCCTGCGCCCACTGCGGGGTTGAACACCAGCCAGCTGCCGTTGCAAATCGTCCACCTCTTTTGCAAGCCTGACCGCAGTCGGCGTCGTGGCATGTCGGAGACGGCATGTCGCACGATTCCCGCTCCAATGCGACAGTTGGCATCTGACTTCGTTTTCGACAGCGACGTTCTGGCGCGGAACATCCACTACTGGTTTTCTCATCCGAAACCTTACCAAAATTGCTGGCAATAGAAAAGACATGAAAACACTGATCGATATTCTGGGGCATGTGGAGATGTTTGCAGGTCTTTGGAGATGTTTGGAGCTCCACGGAGGATGTTCGCCATGACCAGCCTTTCCGCACGATTGCCCTCGTCCGTAGCAAGCTTCTCAGCAGCCTCCTGGCAAACATCCGAGAATGGGAGGTGTGGCCTGGGTAACTACGGCCCCTTGAAGCAAGGTGCAATGTGGTCAATTCATTCACTTTAGTCAGATCGTTGCATGGCCCTGGTAGATGAATTTATATTTGATCTCCTTGATGTTCTGATAGGCCCACCGACAGATCGAAGTTGGATCCAACCATGCAAGGTTCTCCAGTATTGAAATTCTACATCGTCCAACGGCATGTACAACACCAGTTGCTCCATCCAGAAAGTAAGGCACCGCTCTTCCGCTCCAACGGAACATGGCCACCTTTTTCAGAGGTTTACCTTCCACAACTGCAGATGATGCTTCCACCATGTTGACCATGTTCTGTGTGGGCGATCAAACCAATGTGAAGCCACAAACACTAAAAACACTCACCTGAACCAGTAATTTCCGGTCAATCAGTACCCCAAAACTCCATGTATGGTATGGCATATATTTTACCGACCTTAGGAGCGGTTTCAGAGGTCAATGTAGGTACACTCTGACTCACTAACTACCAGTAACATGGAAGTGGAAATTGGTCCGTTGGAGACCCCTTTCCTGTACGACACGTCTTTTTCCACTTCCATGTTAGGAGGTCGGAGGGTATGTAGTTATTCCATAGAAATGTATCAGTATGACCGATCTTGGCACCAGTCATTGACACAAACCCCCGCCTTTTGCCGCTTCACCTCTGAGAGGGCTAAGACCAACCTGGGTTTCCGCGGAACGCGTTCCGCGCAACCGCTTCGCTCATCCTGGTCGGCGCTATAGTGATTAGTTCTCTCATGTTTTCCCTCTCTCTCTCTCTCGTTCGTCTCGCTCTCTTTCTCTCTTCCCCCTCTCTTCCCCTCTCTGTGTCTATCTCTTTGCGTGTGTGTGTGTGTGTGCCCGTGGTCAAAAAATGAAGCCTTTCGCATGTCATGTACATAATTTATAAGCTTAAACATATATATATATATATATATACCTATCTATATAATATCTAAATCTTCCAACTATTCCAAAATGTTGCCTTTTGGCTGTTATTTGTGTAATACATCTACATGTGAAAGGCAGAAACCTGTCACAGTTGGGAGATCCAGGAATTGTATATGAGTTGTGGTCTCAACTTCAACGTTGTCCGACCACTCCGCGTAGTTGAGCACCGGTGTCTAGTCGAGGTGTTGTGCGGTCGGGTCCGGCTATTTCGCCGCGATATATACAGTACATTCATGCCTCTCGAAGACCTCGAAGTGCATTTCGACTGCGCAAGGTCGCAGAATCTGGGTGTCTGCGGCGGGTGCTTCTCGCGACTGCGCTCTTGTGGTGGTGCCGTGCACATTCTCGGACATGGTGATCACTTTTCGTGGCAGGCGCAAGGGAAACCTCATGTTTTGGTGCTGCAAAATCAACTTGTCGTGACAGGCGCAAGGGATCCGGAGCGGCTTTACTTCGAACTGCAGATTTCGTGGCAGGTGCAGCGCTTTGGACATGGTGGTGATCTTAGACGCGCTCTGATTTCGCACTCACACTCACACTCTTTCACGCTCACACTCGATCTCACTCTCTCTCACTCACTCACTCACTCTCACTCTCACTCTCACTCTCACTCACACTCAGTCACAGTCACAGTCACAGTCACAGTCACACTCACTCACCACCACCGCCACCATCACCACGATCTCCACCTGCATCATCACCACCACCTCTCTGGACCCAATGCGTCTAGATCTCTAGACTTTCTGCTGCTACACCTCGAGACCTCACACACACACTGTTTGGGGTCTCTTGCCGGGATAATTTTTAATACATATTCATAAACGACGCTGCCACGTGTTTTGTACGAAGCGTCCCCCAAGGGGTCTAAACCGCATACTTGCTTGAGAAACGGGAGCTGCGCAGGAAAGCAGGTTGAGGCAGACATGTATCAAACTTGAGCGGGGAAACACGAAAGGTAGAGACGGACCGGGTGGCTGTCGGGACCTTTTCTGGTGAGGGACTGTCTCCGGTGTTTCAGGAACGTGCCCCTTGGTCAATCATGGATGAAACCAACAAAGCCAGAGAGCACAAGAAGGCATAAGAAGGCTCAAGAGGAACACCGTTGCGGTCAGATTGCGCCACACGGCTCTGCAGAGAGGCTGCGTTGCGTCGACGCTCGTTTGTGTCTAGGTGTGTGAAAACAGGCGCGCGTAAAAGTCGCAATGCGTAAACGCTCGCATGTGTACCAGCTATGGTCCCACAGCTGCACGCACTGTGTCAGGATTACAGGCCTGCACGCGTTGCGTCGAAGCCGCAGTGACTCAGTGACCAACCCCCTTGTAAGGATAGTGCTGGAGGGATGCGGCCGGTACTGCCAAGGATGGACGTCATGCTATGGTGGGTGTGCTCCACGATGCGGTAAGATTTCGCTAGGGTATAAGGCTGAGTCGAATGGTGTTCCGCGACGCGAGGGGTTTCTCCACAGGGCTTTGCAGAGAGGCTGTGTTGCATCGATGCTCGTTGGTGTCGAGCAATATGGTCTGTGAACGCAGTACGCGCTGTGTGCGCACGCGCGGCGTCGAAGCCGCATTGCGCGACCTCATTGCGCAGGGTTCGTGCTGTATTGCGCAACCTCATGGCCAGCGTCATACTGCTGTGACTGTTAAGCGCATGACTTCACCTTATGTCCAGAATGCTAGTAGTGCTGGCGACGAGGGAAGGGGACGGGGAGGGGAGTGGAGGGGAGGGGGGGGGGGCGGGGGTGTTAGACATTGATCTACCAATCTTTAGTCCTGAGCAAGCTCTCAAGCCAGTCCCTTTGCTTCGCAAAGCAAACTCAAGGTAGTCCTTACCAGGCTACCTTTCGTGACATGTTTCTTCCAAATCAACTAGGGTAAACATGTAAACCCATGAAGCTCCTGGGCCTGGGCATCTGGGGCGCACCGATACGTGTCAGATCTGCAGCCAAAGGGCTTCTTGACCTTCTCACTCTCCTGCGGCAGTTGAGACGTTCGTCTTTATGTCTGGAACACGCGAAAACGTGATAAGTGGGGAACCCAGTGGCAGGGGATGGAGGCATCTTGGATACCCATTGAGGGTAGCAACGAAGTTGTGCTTTTTGATGGTTTTTGCAAATGAGACTGAGGATGTCAATGATTTTTGTCCTGTGTCAGAGTCTGACCAGCTGCCGAATAAATTAAACGTCGAAATCTCCCTAAACACTCCTAGCCCACAGGCAAGGTCATCACCTACTGCACAATTCAAGGGTGAGGCCCGGACTAGTCTTATGTTGGGCGATGGCAGCCATACATGGCCAACCATCAAATATTTTTTTGTGAAAAAAAAAAAGTGAAAAAAAAGCAAAATAAAAGCAAATGAAAATGCAAAAAAAGCAAAAAAAAAAGCAAAAAGCAAAAACAAAGCAAAAAAAAGCAAATAACAAAGCAAAAACAAAGCGCAATAATAGGCAAAAAAAAGCACGACTACGCGCCCTCGGGACCGGAACCTGGACCGGACCCATGGAATCTTCATGGAATCCACGGAAGTTCTGAGTACAAGAGGGTCTTGGAAGTTGCATCGCCAATGGATGACACAGTTAGAGAGCACTGGCGTTCCGAACCTTTTAAGAAAGTAGCCGTTAGACCGGAGAATCTCATGTCATCCCATGTCTGCACCGTCCTCGGCCTCCTGCTTCTGATACAAGACCTCGACCAAACGGCCAAACGCACGGATGGCACTGTGGCACCGAAGATCACCATCGTCCAAAGCCCCCAAAAGACCAGCCATCCGAACCGGCCTTCCATTTAACATCCAATCACCGTTCAACACTCCAATGGTACACAAACAAGCCGATGTGGGGGTCGTGAAATGGCTGCCTAGTGACCGTGACCCTGGCCCCCTTGTGCGGTCCATCTGCCGAACAAACCTCAAATTGGGTCTTTACCTAGCTTTAGTTTTGTAGGTCAACATGCTGCGTGGCACTGCATGGCAATGAATTGCACTGTGTTACACACTGATGCCAGGAGGAAAACATGTTGAGAAAACAAACAACAACCCAAAATTCAGCAGAATCCAGGAGAGTTTAAAATATTGTTCACTTTCACTAATGTTTGGAATGTGCGACCATGCAGCGGTTTCCAGGCTGCTAAGCCGGGTTTGCTCCTTCTCGGAGACTTTTGCCTGCTGCTCAATGACGCCTCAGCTGAGTCGAGTGTTTCTCTAAAGTGTGCTAAGTGTACTGAGACATACTGAGCACTTTGTGATAGGAGACTATAAACATGTATTATGCTGTACTATAATAATCTAACTAGCGTCTGGAGGGCAACTCAGCACTCTTGAGCATGTTCACTATATAACTGCCATTCGCTCTCCATCTCCCTTGGCTGGTTGGCCACATTTGGCCACTCACACCTAATCTCTTCCTATTTTACAGATCTTCAAATCTCCAAGGCGCTTTCCAACTTGGCCATGAGCTTCTGCATCTGCAGAATCTCTTCATCCTTCTGCGAGAGTTTCCGTCGCTCCTCGTGCGGCATGCAAAAAAGCTGTGAGGGTTGAGAAGCAGGGATGGTCATCTGGGTATAGACAGGAAATGGGAACAGTTCAAACACATTCAAACTTCTGACCCCCACACAAGCGAAATGCAAATGCCCTTGGGTCATAAACCAAGAAACCACACAAACGGAAGCTGCACTACACTCCGCGGCATGTGTCATCATGCGAGGATCAACCCTGATTTTCAAGGTGCCCCAGGCTCTTGACCCATCTATTGGACTACACTCATTGAACCAATCATAGAAATGGAAAAATGAACTTCTTTGCAGATGTTTGTAGAGGAAGAATGCTCATCTACACCTCACCATGCTGATTTCAGGGACCGTGACGCCATGCCTTTTCTTGCGGACACACACACACACACACTCGTCGCCCCTCCCGTCGACCTCCAAAGCTCCCATCGAACGGCCGGTCTCTGTGGTGGGTTCCGCGCGCGGGTGAAGCCACACGAGCAGTTCACTCCTCTGTGAGCTGTGCTTCCAGGTTCGCCACACGAGCGTCACTGGACAAACTCAGGGTATCGCCTTCGCGCCCGGGACCGACGACGTGTCCGAGACGACTCTCTGGGCTGGGCTGCGTTCCAGCGACCCGATCTGTGACCCGGACCGAAGCAGGGCCTGGGATGTTGGGACACCGGTCCATCGACCAATAGGACGATGACGACATGATCCTCTCTGTTGCCCTTGGGAAGACATGGAGCGCAGCAACTTCTTCATGCAAAGACAATGGCCTTGTTCTCTGCAAGTTCTTTGGACAGCGAGTTAGTTTGTAGTTAGTTAGCTAGCTAGCGGGTGGGTGGCTGGCTGGCTGGGTGGATGGTTGGTTCGTTCGCTCGTCAGTACATAGTCAGCACAAAAGGCAAACATATTAATTTTACATTATGTGTATGTCCAAACAACGAGGACTCTGTATATTAATTTCCACTGCGGGTGCCAAAGCATGTCACATTGGGTTCCAAATGGTTCCAGCAAAAACCTCCTTTCAAATTCCTTGAGCTTCACAGTTGGGGTCTACACCCAACTAGTTGCAGCACCAGCACTGTGGTGCAATCAGTCTACACTCCCATGCGGAGTGGAGTGAAGACCACCTGTTTGGAGTGAAGACCATCCTTCATTCACCAACCCCAAGGATGATTTCAGGGAGTGTCAGTGGATGCATTCTCTTGATACTTGCACCACTCCCCGCACACCTGCATCCGCTTCGCTGCCCCAGAGCCCTGGGCAGGCAATGAGACGAGGGAGGGTCCAGCTGAATGAGCTGCCCTTGGCAGTGGAGTGGCTTTTCCAAAGCTAAAATGTCTATGTTATTTGTATATATATATGGCAAAGTAAAAACATGAACATAATTAAAGTCACAGTGAACATAGTATATAATATCTTATGTTCGATATAATATTTAGATATTTATGTTCAACCCAATTGACAGTGAACCCCCTTGTGTCAGATCTTACAAGTATACAGGTGTAATGTAGACTCTTGATTGATAGAAAGGAACAAACATCCCTTCCATGAGGATGTTGTTCAACGAAAAGGTCTCATGTTTAAATCAACCGTCCACATGATGCGCCATGTTCAGCAAACTCACTTGCAAACAGTGTCAATTCGTGCCACTGAATCAACAACCCCCCGAAGAACCGGCGGGTGCCTCGTCCAACGGTGGCTGAAAAACCTCGCAATCTTAAACATGTCTATGATCGGTAGCGACCTGGCCTGTTCTTTGCCTTCAAACATGCCAAAAAATCGCCACCCCTCAGTTTCTTTCCGATCACGTCACCCAAAAGCTTCGATCGCCACGGGACGGTTTAATGCCAAGCTCCTCATGCCTGGGCGACAGGACAGCCCATCGGAGTGGAGGATCTGGACTTCCAGAATCTATTGGGATGGCTTGCTTCCGATTTCAAGGTCAGGTTCCCAATCAGCTTCACTCCTTAACCTTAAGATTGAGACAAGGTCGGCTCCTTAAGACGTTTGAGTTGGCTTAAGGGAAATCAACTCAGAAGAGATTAAGTTCATCGCACCAATCAAACTCACTTCTTCTGGATTCGTCACAAGGGCACCATCCCAATCCATCCCAAGTTGGGCTGTGACTTTCAATTGGAGCTTGCAAAAGTACTGGGGACCAACGGCATTGCTTTCTCGTGCCTTTTACATCCTGTCCCCTTCTACAATAGATCTCGAGACTGATCTCGAGATAACATGAGATAACCCAGCCCAAACAATACACTGGCCAGAAGAAAGTTGCGCCTCTTGATGTTGAAACTCATAACAACCCTATCCCCCTAGAATCCTACACCATGAGACAAGGGAAGGTGTGGGCGGTCATTTGTCACCCCAGAAAGCCTTTTATTACTATAAATTTAAAAGGGTGTGATAATTGACCGTCCCACACCTGCCACGAAAATTAGACTTGTTAATTCGATCCGCCGCTGACCTCAGAGTGTTTTGTAAGAAGGCTAACAAGCGTAAACTTTTGTCTGCCTGAAGGGCAGCGAAGAGCAAAAATGTACAAATCGTGCATTCGTTCAACCTCTGGTCTATTTCTATCTATACGTATATAGATATGTCTGGTAAACATATAGCTGTAAAGAGGACAGAGTACTTTATAGATTGACATTTCACTTTAAAAACGACCAATCAGTTTCCTG